GCGCGGCGCGCGCGGGGCTCGCGAGGCGCGCGGGGCGCGCGGGGCGCGCGCGGCGCGCGGCGCGTGCGGGGCCTCCTGGGAAGCCGTCTTGGCTTCCTGAGAGGCCTCCTGGGTATCCTGAGAGGCTCCTTGGGCCTCCTGAGAGGCCTCTTGGGCCTCTCGCGAGGCCTCTTGGGCCTCCTGAGAGACCTCTTGGGCTTCCTGGGAGGCCTCTTGGGCATCCTGGGAGGCCTCTTGGGCCTCCTGGGAGGCCTCTGGGGCTTCCTGAGAGGCCTATTGGGCCTCCTGGGTGAAATATTGGGCCTCCTCGGAGGCCTTTTTGGCTTCCTGAAGTTTTTTGGGGCCTCCTGAAAAGCCTCTTGGGCCTCCTGAGGCGCCTTTTTGGGCCTCCTGCGAGGCCTCTGGGGCCTCCTCAGATGCCTCTTGGGCCTCCTGACAGGCCTCTAGGGCCTCCTGGGAAGCCTCCTGGGAGGCTTCTTGGGTCTTCTGGAAGGCCTCTTTGGCCTCCTGGGAAGCCTCTTGGGCCTTCTAAGAGACCTTTTGGGCCTCCTGAGACGCCTCTTGGGCATCCTGGGAGGCCTCGTGGGCCTCCTGGCAGGCCTCTGGGGCTTCCTGGGATGCCTCCTGGGCCTCCTGGGACGCCCACTGGGCCTCCTGAGGGGCCTCTTGGGCTTCCTGAGAGGCCTCTCGGGCCTCCAGAGAAGCCTCTTAGGCCTCCTGGGAGGCCTCTGGGGCCTCCCGAGAGGCTTCTGGGGCCTCCTCAGAAGCCCCTCGGGCCTCCTGCGAAGTTTCTTGAGCCTCCCGACAGGCCCCTTGGGCATCCTGAGAGGCCTCTTGGGCCTCCTGAGAAGCCTCTGGGGCATCCTGGGAGGCCTCTTGGGCCTCCTGGCAGGCCTCTAGGGCCTCCTGGGAAGCCTCCTGGGAGGCCTGACGACGAGGGCGTAGTAGTCATACAACATGATACAACCATCATACAACATCATACATCATACAACATGCTCCGTACACTATATACCATCATGCATCATACAACGTGATACATACACCATACACCATCATTCATCATACACCATGATACATACACCATACATCACCATGCACCATACAACATTATACATGCACCATACACCATCATGCATAATACAACATTATACATACACCCTACCATCATGCACCAAATAACAATATACATACACCATACATCATCATGCGTCATACAGCATTGCACATACACCATACATGGTCAAACACCATACACCATCAAACATCAGGCACCATCATACATCATACGTCATCAAGCATCACACATCACCAAGCATCATACATCATACAACATCACACGTTATCAAAAATCATACATCATATATCATGATACACGACCAATCACCATACATCATAATCCATCATCGTACACCAGACATCATTCATCATAATACACCTTCAAACGCAATACATCATACTACATCACCAAACACACCATACACCATACTAGACCATCAAACACCGTACATCATACATCAGCATACATCGTCAAACATCCTGCATCGTAATACATTGTACATCATCCAACATCATACAACAAACACCAAGCATCATACATCATCAAACACCGTACATCAAACATCAAACCTCATCCATCCTCAAACATCATCAAACATCGCACATCAAACATCATACATCATCAAACATCAAACAGTATACATCATCAAAAACCAACCATCAAACATCACACATCATCAAACATCATACATCATCAAACATCGAACATGCAGCATCAAACATCAGACATTACCAAACACCAAACATCAACCATCATACATCATCAAACATCATACATCAAACATCAATCACCAAACATCATTAAACATCAAGTATCAAACAACATCAAACATCAACACACATCAAACACCAAACATCAAACATCATCAAACATACATCATACATAATCAAACATAAAGCGTCATAGATCA